AAATAATAATAATCATCAAAGAAAAAGAATAGGTTTTAGTAATTGTCACCTGAGCAATTGGCATGAGAAGAATTTTCCAAACTGCGCAAGAAAAGGATATAGTTAAAAAGTAATACAAGGTAATTGTTAAATTGGCTCTAGAATCTTGTTCTTATGTGTTAATAAATAGGGTGGTGCTATTAACACTTCTATTTTTATCTCTCATACAGTCTTTGTTAATTTATATTATTTGATTTCTCTTCAAATCATTCGATCCAATGGCCGAAAATTGAAAAGAGTGTGTGGGAGATAAAAAGGAATGTTTGGATAGCGAACCACCCTAACAAATATCCAATTGCAATGGTTTGTCTTACTAGTGCATGTGAGTTGCAGCTGGATCTACTTTTTGTGTAAATGGTGCCACAGACAAGCGTTATTAGGTAAGGCTTTCTCCTTGCTCTTACCTCCTGAAAATCTTGCGGCCACTGTGGCCTCGGTACACACATGTGCTGACATTACAACCGAATGCTGTTGGTTTGGTTAACACATCGCCGATGAAGACATCGGAGTCTTTGCATTGCAGGTGAGAGCATGAGGGGACAATGCCAGATGGGGAACACTGCAAGCTGATGACCAAGCAAGATAGTCAGCTAAGTACAAATTAATGTACAATATGCCAGGCTTTTAACATGTAGAAAAATTGTGAGCATGATATATTGGTAATGACAGCAAGCTAAGTAGCTAGTAAAATGGAATTTAAACATGCTTACTTGAGAGTGGTTGATCTGCAAAAGCACTTTATGCAGTTGTTGGCAGTTAAGGCGTATGAACCATTTGGAACTATTAAGCTCTCATTGTACCAGTTCAAATTTGCTGATGAACATGCTGCATATACCGTGACACTATATTAATTTAATTAATTAGCTAATCTATCTATATGTTTGGTATGGACGTACGTATGTGCAGCTTCGATTATGTTGCATATATAAATCCGATGCTCTTTTTTTATATACAAACGAAGGAGGGTAAATACTCTTCACACCGATCATTCTATAAACTTAAATAATTCATGACCTGCCCAAATCAATTCTATAGGTTAATTTGGTGAACATATCTAAGCACTGTTGGTATAGGGAGTACCAAAATTTATTCATTCATTTCTTTAACTTATTGTACTATGCCACATTAACCAAAAACATAGATTCTCCTCTTGATAGCTTCAAAACCAAACACATGCAGAACTCCAAGAACGTCTTTGAACAGTAAGTGCATACTTACATTACTCGCCAAATTAATTATGTATAAATTCACCAACCTACCTTTCTTCCTTATAAATTAATTAAATCTTAACAAACAACAAACACACATTAAATTTCAATAAAAACTGGAATGACGACGTTGTAACAATTATTTCTGCAGTTGAAGTCTTAAGTTCGATTCTTCGTATTACATATTATCGCTTGTATTAAAAACCAATTTCATGGAAATTCTACTAACCTGAAATTGGAATAGCCAATATGTCACCAGGATCAACCGTTGGTTGACCGAGCCCATTGATGCTCACCAACTCCATCACAGTCGCCCCAAACTCTCCGCCAATGCCGCTCAAGCTCTCCCCGCTCTGCACCACATACGACATGTACACAGAAGCAACCCCGTTGTTACTATTATTAAAGCATGTGCATGGCAACTGCACCAAAACGCTCTGCCCGCCCGTCAACGGATTCTTGGCGCCAATCCCGTTCACACTCCTAATCTGCTCGGCGCTCACAAGCCCGCCGTACCCTTCCGCTATCAGATCCAACGTGTCCACCGCGTGGACGGTGTACGTTAAAACGGACTTCCTGATGCCGTCCACGCATGGACACGAAATGGGAATCTTTAGTTGGGTTTTCGCTTTAAGAATTTGGTTTCCAGGGAACGGAATGGTTAAGTTGATGGAGTTGGCGGCCAGGACGTCGAAGACGTTTAGTTGGAAGCGGAAGGCGATTTCGGAGAGTTTCGAGTCCCATGGGAGGATGTAGGAGAGGAGGGAGGAGCAGGAGTCTGCGGAGGAACATGGTTCTATGGTGGACTTGGCATTTGCTAGATTAATGGAGAAGATGAATAAAAGTTGCAGAAGTACTAGTACTAGTTGATTTGATCTCATCTTGCAAATCTGCTTGGGTGGGTTTGTTGAAAATAGTAGGAAAGATCATATCTTTGTCCAAATTTTCAAAAAAATTTGGACGATTAATTTAATTTTGAGTGGAGTGAAGTTGTTGGGAGTGCACATCATAAATTAATGAGAGTGAGCGAGAGTTGGTGTTGCGCAGACCAATGTGTGATTCTTTAATTATTTCTTAGGCTGTTGGACATTTGGACCAACCAGTCTTTGGCCCTTGGGTGCCACCATGAGTAACAGCCGTTGAAATGAGTTCTTCTTCCATTGTACGAACTCAAACGGATTAGTTGATTCCATTTTAATTTAGTTTTGGATAATATTTTTGCCCGTCACGTTTAAGTGTTCATCATCCTATTTTTTTACTATTAAATGAATTTAAATTTTAAAATTTGTGTAGTAGATAGATATAAATCTTAAAATTTAAACTCATTCAATGATAATAAATAAGGTGAGCATTACCACCACTTAAGAGTGGTGAGCAAAAATGCACCCTTAGCTTTGAGCTCTTTTAACTTTCAAAATATGTCAATTTTTTGCAAACAATCAAAAGTATCACATATTTTGTTAGTTTCACAGGCTTGTCTTTGGTGGTTTAGACTATTAAATACTTCGATTTTTTAAAGTCAATCGTTTAATTTGTTAGAGTCAATTTCACCGTCTATTTTCAAAACTATTCAGTAGTCCAGATTACGGAATAAAATTGTAGTTCCACACTTTATACTTCAATGCAAGAATATAAATTGAGACTTATAGATTTGACGGTAGGAGAAATCATACGATTGAAAAAGTCTATAATTTCACAGCTCAGTTAAAAGTGGAGGGATACAATTGGAAAGAAGAAGTAGTAAGTTCAAGAGGTACTGCTAAACTTATCTCGTTCCATATAAAATTGGGTGAAACTAACTAGTAAATGCTAAGGAGATTTTCTCAAAAGCGAGATTATTCATGGACTCGCTGTTATCTCATGTTTTGACACAATATTTTATAATATTAACACAAAAATTAACATTAAACAATGAAATAACAAAAAATAAAGAATTTTAATTAGAAAGTCTCTTTAGCATTTTTCTTGTTTACTTTGTAAAAGTCTTTGGCAATGTCTAATGAATTGTCATAAAAATTGGGCTGAGATCTTGAACATTTTATTGGGCCATTTAGCTTCGTTGGACGTCTATCCCTTTCTCCTCCTCTTAAACGCCGTTGACTGAAATTCGGAGCAACCACCCCCATTCTCAACATGGCAGCGCGTACCACAAAGTGAGCGCGTTCCTATTTCCCGCCACCGCTTCTAAAACTAAAAAGATAGGCAGAATGGAAGAAACCGGCGATGTACGGCGAGGTAAGCGCAAACAACATTCACACAACACAGAAGCCGCAGAGAACCACCCTCATTCTCCGCCGCACAAAAGGCGGCGGCGCAGAAGAGTGAAGTCCGAATCTAAAACCCTAACCCGAGCATCCGACCCGCCACCGCCGCCGTCGTCGTCATCCAGGTTCCAATTATTATCGCCTTCGTATCGGAAGCACACGAAGCGGCAACCGAGTCGAACCCAGACAGAGAGCTCCCGGGAGTGGGCTTCCTCTCCCTGCAGCTCTTCTGCTTCCACCTATGGAGGTAAACAAATATCCAATTTTCAAATTCCCTGTTTGGCTAATTTGAATTTGATTGGGTTTGCTTAGGATTTTTTGTTACTGCAATTAGCTGTTTGGATTGCTCAGCCAAACGAGGCATTGTGCTAATTTTTTTGAATGTTGTGGTGTCCAGAGAAATTTGTGGTTGTTTCTTATAACATTCTGGGTGTGGAAAATGCATCCAAGCACCCAGAGTTGTACTACAAAGTCCCACCCATGTTCTTGGAGTGGAACCGCCGCAGGAAGCTTATTCGGAAGGAGATCAATCGTTACAATGCTAGCATCATGTGCTTGCAGGTAAAGTCGAAGAATTTGGCAATGTAGATATGATGTGTAGGCTAAAGTGTAAATCTTTATTATTTAAATTACTTTTAAGTTAATCCTAAGTTACTTGTATGGCTGTAGGAGGTTGATCGTTTTGATGATTTAGCTCATCTTTTCCGGAAAGATGGGTTCGAAGGTGTTTATAAGGTAGCCTTGAATTTTCTTTTCCAAGTATGTAATCACTTACTATTGTCAAGTACCTTCTTATTGGCATACATTCTGATTAATGATTACCAACTATCCCTAGGCGCGCACGGGTGAAGCAAATGATGGATGCGCCATATTTTGGAAAAAGGAAATGTAAGGTTTCGTTGACCTTGTGAAAATTGTAAATTTTCTGCACGTTGCTTTGACATCTAAGTTCAAATGACAGATCAGTTCATATCCAATCTTAGTTCTTCTTAAAATCAAATATGCTGTTACTTCTTTATGACTAGCTAGATGGTTTTTCCTTTGATATTTATTATATTAGTTGTGTTTTTATAGTTTCTTGAGAAACATGTTTGATGACTGCATTTGAATTATATATCCTATCTAATTTTCATTAGTTATGGTCGTGTTGGTATTGTATGTTTGGTATAACTTGTCATTTCTTGTTTATTATCAATTTAGTCACTTTCTATTCCAGCTTTTAGCCAATGATTTTCTGAATGCAGGTTTAGCCTTTTACATGAAGAAAATATAGAGTTCCAAAGTTTTGGACTTCGTAACAATGTTGCTCAACTTTGTGTATTAAAGGTATAGGGGGCATTACTTTCTTCTAAGGGGTGCTAATACATAAGTTGAAATTCATATTGATGTGTCATGTCATGGTGGCATGATGGTTTGCTCGTGTAGCATCAAGCATCACATTTTTTTTTTTTTAATGTGCACTTCTCTGTGGTTAGGTACTTAGGTTTTAATGTTACCCTTATGGGCCTTATCTAGCCATGTAAAACATGCCTTGTCACACAGTAAAATTATGATTTCCAGTGTGATCTTCTAAAATCTATGACTTATTGTGACATCCCCTGTTAAAATACCAGCCATTGCTGATGTCGACGAACCCCTTTGTGCTGCCAATTGTTTTGTTTCCATTTTACTATTGTTGCTTAGCTACACTAGACATTTTTCTTGTTTGTTGAAAATGCAGAGTAACCAAAATCAATTAGAGTCAGACATACCTCCTGGAACGTGAGTATAAGTTTTCTTTCTGTCCTGTTTGCATATTTTGTATAGGATTTGGTTTTACTTCACATATTGGTGGGTTATTTCACCGACTGATATGCATCGTACAGGAGTCCATACACCCAAAGTAGAAGCTTAGTGATTGGGAATACACATCTACTATTCAACCCAAAACGTGGAGATATCAAGCTAGGGCAGGTATTCTCTACTATGTTTTTTCAGAAATGGGACTGTATAGCATAGTTTGTAATATATCTCAAATGTGATCATGCATTAGGTCCGACTGTTTCTTAAAAAAGCTTACGAGCTATCACAAGAGTGGGGCATCATCCCTGTTATAATTTCCGGAGATCTAAATAGCATCCCACAGGTGACCTCCTGCAATGATATCATTTATTAAGCATGTTTGATTCAGATGGTCCACGTCACTTACACCAAATTTTTTGGTTCGTCAAATGTTCAGAGTCCTATGTACCATTTCCTAGCTTCTTCTGAGGTGATTCCATTTTGGCTTCTCCTGCTTTCCCCCTCTGTTTCTTCGTCGTCTTTATTTTTTCCCCTCCTTTTTGTATGGGTTCAGTTTATGTTATGCTGTTCTTGCTGTTGTTTATTGCAGTTGGACATCCGACTACATGACCGCAGAGGTATATCCGGACAGTTTGTCCTGAACTTGAATCACAGAGGCTTCAGATTTCAGAATGAGCAAGCAAGCAGGTACTTCAGTGTATGAATAGTTACCTCAAATGTCGCATTAGAACATGTACAAGCAATATTACTAGTGCATTTATCGCCTAAAATTAGATATAATTGGTTTATAACTTTATGGAATTCAGTACTGTCTTCTTTTTCTCTTTATTTTATTTTAAACTCCCTTTGGTTTAGTGAGAACCAGGAGATCCATTTTTTTGAAATTTCCGGTTAACTTCTTAAGTGAAAGCAGGATGACATGAGTTATTGTTTCCTTGTCCTCTCATATGACATGCACTGCAGTTAAAGAACTATTTTTTTTCTTTTGAAAAAAAAAAAAAAGTTCTAACTGAATTCTGTATTGTGGATGCGGTATTACGAAATATTTTATTAGGCCATTTTCATATATATGGAGCGAGGAAGAAGTAAGGCTTGCAACTGGCAGTGAAGTAGTCACGTGTCTTCGGCATGATTTGAAGCTTTGCAGTGCATACCTGGGAGTACCTGTAAGTCTTAAATCATTTCTACTTTCAAAAATTTTTATGCTTAAATCCAATTATCTATTTCCCAATGCTGTATGTATGTGCCTTTCTGCAGGGTAGTTGTAGAACCAGAGATAGGTCTGGAGAACCCTTGGCAACGTCATACCACTCCGAGTTTATGGGAACTGTTGATTATATTTGGTATGCCTTTTTGTTTTTCGGTCGGTCCATTGTCCGGAATTTCATTAAATTATAACAGGCTGAGTGTTACTGTTTTGCGCTTTGTACTTAAATACTTTTGGTCGCTGAGTGACAGGCATACCGAGGAACTTGTTCCTGTCAGAGTTCTTGAAACCTTACCAGTCAATGCTTTAAGAAGAGATGGAGGACTCCCCAGCAAGGTAACTTTCTGTCTCCAATTATTTATGCTTTATCAGTCGCATAGTGTGCTTTAAAGGAGAATTAAAATAATTGTTTGAGTTAGAGCATCATAAGCTTCTTCACTATGCTCAGTACTGTAGAAAAGTGAACAGACCGATAAATAACAAGTGAACTACTCATAGAAATTGACCTGAAAACTTGGGAAGTGTGATAAGGTAGTAAGGTGTTGTGTATTTCTCTAAGTTTCGGTTTTGCTTTGCAGCAATGGGGCAGCGATCATCTTGCTGTTGTATGCGAACTGGCTTTTCGTAGATAATAGCAGTACTGAAGCTCCAACTCCAGCTGTAGCACAGGGAAGTTACGTTCTAAACGTTTTGTTCCGCGTCAAGTTCCGATGGCTGTAATGTTTACGGGGCGGGGCTTCTGCACATTTACGGTGCTCCTAGTTTTTTCGGGGAGTTTAAAAACCATTCGAATTTTGAAAATGTACATTTATCGGGTTTTTATTGTTTGCTGGATTGAGTCCAGCTAATTTCGGGCTTGAAGTTTTTCTTTTGAACTTGTAAAGTTATCGAGGACGTGTAGCAAAGCAGGACATTCTTAATCGCATTTTCTTTTGAATCCAACAATTCCTTTTCGGTACCAATTTTTTTTCTTCCAATTTTCACATTGTACTTGGTCAGCTTTGTGGCTTCGGCCCCATCGAAATTGAACCGGGCCGGCGAAATGATGGTTAGTCAATTGAAAGTGAAAGCTTATCTTCAATTAGCCGCCTTTCCTGGCCATATAAGCAGCCCTTAATTATCCTTAAACGACACGCCTCCTAAGACTCACACTGGTATTGTCTTCTCTTCAAAATTTGGCAAAGCAACCTTACATTTGAGAATCGACATCAATTCGCTCCGTGTTTATAGGACGGAGTCGTTCCTACTTACCTGGAAATCACAATTTGACGCATTTGACTAAACTGACCTGTCGTTAATACTAATAGAAAAGGAGTACACAAGGGTTCAGTTTATAATAGCTTACTCAAACATATTACCACTCCGAGTCTGAGAGTTGGAAAAATCTTGGACGGCCCGAAAAGCACAGTGAAAACCCAAGAACTCTCTCCGAACATAGAAAACGATAACAATAAACCCCGCTGCTCAAACATTTCTTGAGCATTTTATTGTGCAACATGTAATGGATAAACTACTGGTAATTCCTAACTACAAAACTTCATGGCTTACCGTGTTCCAGTTTCTGATCAATCCAAGAGAAATCCTGCTGACCAAAATTGAAGTCGAGAGGGGGAAGACACATAGCCTCGTCTTTTTTATCCTTGCACGCGGGATAATCAACTGTGTCTGTCATACCATCATCAACAATATCACACATGCCATCAAAGAACTGATCCAAGCTAGAAAACACGTAATTGTCCCCGCATCCCAAATTCAACTGTTCGACATCTAATGGTGGCAACATTGGAATGGATTCCTCTTCTTCAAAAACTGGTTGCTGCACAGTGCCTTCTCCCCCAGATTCTTCTTTCAACCTTTCGAGTCCAATACAAAGCGCAGCTGAACCAGACATTTCAAGCACAGATGATGGTGATGGATGGCAAAACGATGAATCCTGACTCTCCTCTGATAAAGGAACGCTTTGAAGCTCATGCTTGGCTCCCTCCGTTAATTGCATACTCTCAAACTCATGCTTATCAGATAATGGCATGTTTTCACAGTGGCTCTTAGTCCTTTGCTGTGACTGTATGGTCTCAAACTCACGCTTCTTTTGCTGATAAGCAGCAGCAGCCTCCTCTGCTGTATTAAAAGTGCCAAGCCATTTTCGAATTCCTTGAAATGGATCTCGAATCTCCGCTGCATATTTTCCCCATTTTCTGCGTCGAACTCCCTTAGGGAGCACTCTATTACTTTTCCTAGAGTCATAAAAGTCCGTACTATGACCAATTCTGCCTCCATTGGTCCCTGCAGATGATTCACATTCTGTTTCCACAACCAAAATCTCCGAAACAAAGTGCTTACCATGCTGAAATAGGTTTCCCTCAATATCATAATCCTCATCATCTTCACTCGAAGAGTCGGTGGCATCAGGATCATTGTATATAATCCGAATTCTCTTCACGTAACCTGCATTCTCTTCTACGGTAGGTTGCTTTTTCTTCAATTTGTTCCAGCTCACATGTTGATTCAAGATTACGGTTTTCATCCCCGGCATTTTGAACTTAAAACCCCTAAACCCCCTATACCCGAAAACAAGAAAAAGAAAACAAAAATTCTCTCAAAAGTTGAAAACTCAGTATCAAGAAAAACCCAAAACCCTCAAAAACCCGAGTCCAGAAATCGAAATCGAAAATTGTATTCTGAAACAATCCTTAAAGCACTTCACACCAGAACAACTCCTGCACCAATTTCATCAACGAAAACAAAAATTACCACAACTCAAAGACCTTAAACCCATCAAAAACCCCTACGACAGAAAACCCATCAACAAAATTCCACAAAGCACTAATATTGATGTTCATACATACATTAAATATCATAAAAATTGAAAACTGAACACACATAATATGAAACACAAGAGAGTAATAAATTAATAATTAATAAATGAAACCCACATACCTTTGTGATCTTAATGGCATGTAAAAAACAGATGAAATCTGTTTGTGCATGCAAAAGAGAGGCTGATATGATTTCCAGAGCTTCTTCGGAGCTCCAGTCGACAGATAAAATCTAGAAGACATATATCCTCTGTGCCAACCTCCTCTGTTTTCTCCAAAAAAACCTTATCTTTTGCAAACTTGCAACCAGAGAGAGCTAGAACAAGAGAGAATCTGGAGAAATAACACAAGATATCGAGACCCAGATCAAAAAAAATCCCAGAAAAGCAGAGGATTTTGAATCAACGGCCGAGAAAATTCAGAGAGTTTTTTTGTTACAAAAAAGAAAGCCTCAAGATTTTTACGAAAAATCAGAAAAAAAATCGATGGAATCAAACAGGGAAATGGGAAAGCTTGATTCTTACTCAAGGTGGTGTGATGATTCTGATTTCTTGGTGTTATCTCTGAAGAAGAACACACAAGAAAAAACTCGGTCTCTCTCTCTCTCTCTCTCTCTCTCTCTCCTCAGTCCCCACCCTCTGTGTTTTTTTTTGGAGGACGAAATTGGTAAACAGTTTGTCACTGCTTCGGTTTTGCGTTACAATTACAATTCAGCCTTTTTCCTACCTTGGACGAGTGGGCCCTCCACCATTAACAAAGGGTTGTATTGTCATTTTGCAACGCTCGGTATATCTAGATGTTTAGGGGGCGTTTGTTTGCCCTCACTAAGTTGGACTGGACTGGACTGGACTAGCTATCAGTCCAATACTGTGTTTGTTCTATGCTGAGACTAACATTAATGAGACTAAAGGGGACTAGCATGGACAAAACCCTTCACTAAGAGGTCTTAGCGAGACCCCCCAATAACTATAGGACTTGCTAAGACTATCCTCTCTTTCTCATCCTCGTCATGTTCAACGACCACTCCTGACAAACTTCTCGTCATCTCCAGTCACCTAGATCAATCATTAACTTTCCGACTCTCTTTCAGATCCATTTCACAACCAACTTTCATATAAAATATACCAAATTGAAGCTGGGAGTGACAAGATTACGATTTTACTTGAATTGAGGCCAAAATGTGGTCGAATGTAGCCGGAAAATGGCCTGGAAGTCTCGCCATGTTTCGGCTTCTTCAAATTCATGACAGATTCGAGCATTCAAAGCTAAGATCTCGGTCTAGGGATGGTAATAAATTTTTTGGCGGTGCTAACTTCATCCAATTTAACAAGGGTTGGCCGGAAAACACATCGGGAAACCTGCAACTCATCGGGAAAATTGGAGCCGTGAGGTTTCATTCGAACAACGCATAGCTAGAGAGGAAGGGAGGACAGAGAAATAGAGACTAGAATCAATAAGGAGTTTGACCAGGAATGAGAAAGAGACATGAATTGAGAGGTCTAAGAGGAAAAAAAGAGGGAGAGGGTGGGACGATGAAAGAAGAGGAAAAGAGTGGAACGGAAATGGTAGGAAAAGATGAAGAAAAAGATAAGATCATAATAAAATATTAATAATTTATATATTAAATAATATAATATTAGAATTTGTTATTATCCAGCTTCTTAGTCCAATACTGTACCAAACGTTTCACTAAGTTAGTCCAGTTTAGTCTAGTCTAAGCCAGTCCAGCTTAGTCCTTGAAGCTAATCGAGTCCGAGATAATCCGGCGCAACAAACGCCCCCTTAGGGTATTTCAAGTTCAAATAAACCAACGTATCTGATTTTTTTTTTTTTTTTTTTTTCGGTATTCAGTTTTTATGTGTTTATTTATTTGGAACGAAGAAAGTCATAAACTAGGAAAAGAAAGTAAGGAATATGAATGAGATCAACTACTATCGGATTGCAGATTTGTAAGTGGAACTTGTGGTAAATGAATAGAATTAGAATGATTTGAATATAGATTGAAAAATGTTAAAAGTGTTTATAGTTGAAACATACATTTGAAGTGCATTTTGAAAAGAAAAAAATAACTAATGTGCAGTTTCTAAAGATAGCACTAGATGGTTTCTAAAGAGAGTTCGATTAAGTTATACAATGGGCAACCTAATTTAGTATTGAATTCTCCATCCACGAAATTCAAACTTAAAATCTCTCACTTTCAAATGAAGAGTCATACTACCAGACCGTAGTACTGAGTGACCATTAAAAGCACTTTTAAGTACAAGCATTTTTTTTTTTTTTTGGGGCTTTTAGATCTAGGTCCAAAAACATAGATGGTTTTTAGGAGTGAGTCCAATTATCTAATTACATGTTTTTATTTCTTTTAGACTCATTTTATATTTTTTTTAAATATTAAAAATCAATTAAAATCTTCTAATATTATGCATTTTTCAACTCCAAAAAATCTAATTAATATTTTACAAAAAAAAAAAAAAACTAATATACTAACATAAATTATCTACAAAACATTGTACATTAACTCAAGTAACAAATATATGAATATATATTATACATGTAAGCGAGATATGAAACCTAACTAAAAGATAGGAAAAAACATAATATACCTACAAGCAAGACACATGAATTTGTGACATGTTGATTATAAAAAAAAAAAAAACCTGTCATATAGATACATAAAAATAATTACCCTGTGATATAGGTTGATTATAAAAATTAAAAATAAAATCTATAAATGGGGTTCAAAGCAAGAGGAAGAACAAGAAATAACAAAAAAATAAAAATAAAAGAAATAATCAAAGAGATAATTAGAAAGAAATTTGATTTTTATAATAAATCTTATCATTGAATAGATAATTATTGATAATAAAATAATTAAATTTAAAAAATTTAACTTATTTTAATAAATTAAACTATTCCTACTATTGGTTAAAAAAATTGAACTTGTATCAAGGTTTTTCCGTTTTTTTCTTTAAAGCTGTAGCGTCTTATAAATGAGCATTTCAAACCGGCCCATTAGTTTTAGTTCTAGTTGCTGGGTGCTTTTTTCTATTGCAAAGTAGGCCCAAAAAGTTTTTTCAAGAGTAGTAAAGTCACGTGGTTGCCACCCGTGACCAGTGACCACGTGGCAGTCGCGGTGGTGGTGACGACGGCAATAGAACAGTGGTGGTACGAGGTTGTGGTTCAGTGGTGATGGGTTGTCGGTGATGGTCATGGTAATTTGTTGCAGCATCCAGACAATGCAAAATAGTTTGATCGGCATCCTTTGTTGTTTGAGTTGTTATAATTGAAGGATTTGGGATTGAAGGATTTGGATTTGAATTGTTTTTTGAGTTGTTATAATTTGAAGTCTCACTGTGTGACTATTTAGTTATATCATGATTACAAGAAAAGAGCATGAAAGGCAATCCAGTATGAATGGCTTAAAATCTAGATTGAATACCCCTGGATTCATTAAAAGAATTAAAATCCCTCAAAATCTTAATTGAATACACCCCTAAATTATGAATTTTTATGAAGTCTCACTGTGTGACTATTCAGAGAATCGCTTAAAATCCAAATTGAATACCCCTAGATTCATTAAAAGAATTAAAATCCCTCAAAATCTCAATTGAATACACTCCTAAATTATGAATTTTTATGAAGTCGCCCTATCACCTTGACGAATTGGTTGGGGCTCAATTGTTTCCCTTTCCTTGAACCCTTTGTTAAAGACAGAGGCATCCTTCCTCTCCTTTTGTTGTTCTTCTTTGTTTGTTAGTCTGCTTCATCCATACTGTTCTGTTTGGATGATCATATCCGCCCTTGTCCTTGTCTGTCCTTGCCATATTTTATATAACGATTATATTCAACACGGTCGTCTTATGGCAGAGGATCCTATGTTTGTTATTGGAATTGTTTCGTCCTGTTTATTTGTCCCATGATCATTACATTGTTCTTCAGAAAAACTAAGGAGATATGCTTTTATATATATATAGGAAAGAACAGTTACAACATAAGTCCCAAAACCAAGCGACGCGGGAGAGTGTACCACCAGGACTAACACTCATGAGATAGATGCCCAATTCTAGCTAACACATCGGCAACTAAATGAATTAGCTTCCAGATAGATATGACGAAAGTATATATTCTGGAAGTTACAAGCGGTCCTCTAAATATTGAAGGCCATGGTAGTGAGATGCCAAGGAATAGAACATGTCCCGTTAATTATTGCATCAATTAGAATCTTCAAATCACCTTTCACCTCCAGACTACTAACTCCAAGTGAAAGAGCAGCGTTATGGCCAAGCATGCACACGTGATATAAGATGTATCCATCGGTGTATGGTTTTAGAAATTGAACTATCTGATGTGAACATTATTCTGCGAGTGGCAGCGACAAATGAATTCAAATGTTATCCGCATTTTACTTTTGTCTATTTTTGTTTAAATTTATTCTGAGACGCTTGTTTACCACTTTACAAATTCAAATTATAATGAATTTCTTCACCACTCTCTCATGCCTTGGATGTGGCACTTCAGCACCTAAGCTACTAGTCAAGCCTCGTCACGGCTGGCATAGCTGTATTTGTTTTGAGAACCCAAAAATTACAACGGTTAAATTTGGCATTGGCTTTTCTGTAGGGGAAGCAAAACGCTAATCGAAAATGTAACCTCTCTGAAAGTGCCAGAGCTGCCATGCGCCAAACTTAGTGATGCTTCCATGTAAATTAGGCAGAGGCTGAAGAAAGTTCATAAAGTAGTAGCCCGGGTCGTGCTGTATATTATTTTAGATAAGCAACTTTTAGTCTCTCTTAAAATCTCGATTGAGTCTTGTAAAGCTTCTTTTACAGACTTTGTCCTTTGGCATCCCCCTCCATTGCTTCTTTTACAGACTTCGTCCTTTGGCATCCCCCTCCATTTTCTTGTGTCAAAGTGAATATTGATGGCCTTGCTAAAGGTAACTTGGGTGCTGCAGCATGTGGTAGGATTTTCCGAGATTCTACATGTTATTTTCTTGGTGGTTTTTCCTAAGCTTGGGGCATCCTACCTCTTTTTATGCGGAGCTTCATGCTATTATCCTCGCTGTGGAGTTGGCTCACGCGTAGGGTTGGCAAAATTTATGGCTTGAAAGTGATTCTTCTAGCGTGATATCTTGTTTTGCTTATGGTTCTTTTTCTCCTCCTTGGTTGCTCTACACACATTGAAAAAATGTATTTTCCGATTGCATAAATGGTATTCTGTTGCTCTCATACATTTCGAGAAGGGAATGCAGTTGCTGACAAATTAGCCAATTTAGGGCTTCTATCGTCTTCACTTTTTTGGAATGCTGCTCCTCCTACAGAGATTCTTCCTTTTCTACAATCAGATTTCTTGGGCATGTCGGCCTACAGGTTTGTCTCCCCTTCTTGATGTGTGATTTTTTCTTTTTACCAAATCTTTTTGGATTTTCCTTTCATTATGCAGCTTGTCTTGCAGATGCTTACCTTTTAGGTTTTATAGAGGGGTTTGGTCCTATGTCTACCCCATCTTTTTTCATGTATTTTATTTTTTAAGATAGGTAAGGTCTAGTCTCTCTCTTTTTCTTGTATTTTCTTTTTCAAGAGGGTAAGGTGTAAGCCCCCTTTTTCTTGTATTTGTTTTTCTTGTTCTATGAGGGGTAAAGTTTATGTCCCCCTTGACTAGGTGTAACCTTTTTTTTTTTTTTT